TTATGTGGCAAGTATTCAAAGAAGAGTTAAAACCTTGGATAGGATTTCAAGTAAGGTGTCCAATTTGGTAGAACCCTTTTGTTCTATTGTTTGCAAGAGAACAATTGAAGATCTCAATCATATTCTTCGGAGATAGTACTTTGAAGGAGCAATTTGGAGTTGTTTCTTTGAGGAGTTTGGCTATTGCTTTGCCAGTTCTCAAAGTTATAGAGAGACGACCGATGAGTTTTTTCTCCACCAACCCTTTCGTGAGAGATGATCACTTATGGTGAGTTCGGGTTTGTGTAATTTTGTGGGGTCTTGGGGGTAAGAGGAATAATAGAATTTTGGAAAATTATACTGTGCCTTACGTTTTCAGGAATAGATTCATTGGCCCTGGAAATTTTAAAATGTACTATTTTGGTATCTGAGTTTTCAAGAATATGTTTAAGAAGTCTGTGAGTTTTGAGAAATAGGTTTAAGACGGTCTCTAGCAATACTTTTTATATTTGATATAGTAATGGTAATGGAGTAATTTTTATTATTTTTATTGTTTGCGTGGCATTTAAAATTAAAAATAACATAATTTCTCTTCTCTCATTCTCTCTTTCCATTCTCTCTCCTCTTAATCCTCCCTCCCTCCTTTATTTCTCCTATCCCCCTTTCCATGCTCTCTCCTAACTATAGGGGGTCCCCACGACAAGCCATCCCTTCCAACCATTTATTTTTACCACTTCTCGAGATCAATGACAACAATTTGAGATCACTGGTGCTAAACTCCTCAAAGATCAACTCTATTTCTCAACTGTTCATGTCCAAAATCTACCGTATTCCATCCCCTTTGTCACACAATCGACCGTTCACATTTTCCCTTGATTTTTTGTGATCCATTAGCCTTAAACTTTGTGGGCTGTAATGATTGCAAATCCCAGCTAAGTCTAAATTCATCAATTTAGATCGAACTCAAAAAAGAAGAATAAACTATCATTCGTCACCTAGGAATCCTCACCCTCATTGACTCCCACAACCCTCCTTCTACTTCGAGCTCAACCCCTTGATCATATAGGCAGCGTCACAAAGACAATGACACTAATTTGACTGAAAGGAAGGAGAGAGGAAAAAGAGCGAAAGAGAGAGGTTGGAGAGAGGATGAGAATAGAGAGAGGATAGAGTTTTATTTTTAAAAAAAAATTCAAATGCCACATTACATTAAAAAGAACTTTAATAACTTGTAGATAGAAAAAGTACCACCAAATACCCGTTTTAATCCTATTTTTCAAAACTCAGAAACTGGAAGTGTACATTTTAAAACCTAAGAACCAAATGAACCTATTCCTGCAAACTCTGGGACCAAAAAGGTTTTCCTAAAATTGTTAGAGAGATTGAGAGACCTCTCAGTGATGCTTGGTACCTTCTTAGATTCCATTTTTCTCTTTCGGCTTCGGTTATGAAGTTACTTGCCAGACCAAAGTTATTTAGTAATTATCCTTTATATCTTATTTCTCTAGCTTAAGAGTATCTTTTTTGTGGTTTGCTTCCTTTTCTCAAGGCTTTATTTTTGTATGCCCTTGTTTTCCTTCATTTTTCTCTCTATGAAAGTTTTGGTTCACCATTATATTATATAAATAAATAAAATAAAATAAAATTAAAAAAAAAAAAAAAAGAACAATGAAAATCCCTTGGTAGAGCCAAATTTTGCAAAAATAACTTTCCTCCAGACTCCAAATGACACATTTTTCAATGTTAAATCTCCAAAGTCACAACGTAAGGTAAAGAATTTCTTTGGGGATGTTTGGCACATGAATTTATCATTTCTGAGTTAATGAGTCGGTTGTTGGAAAGCCCAAGTTATGTATAATGTATGTTTAGACTGGACAAAGGAATGTGCTATAGAAACCTAGTGTTGTATTGTCAACTCAAACATTTTTGGGCAGACCTATGGATTGGACAAAGAACAAATATCTATCATTTTATCTTTCTGTTGCTTTATCCAGTGCAAAGAATGCATCAGTTGTAGATTTGTGGTTGACCAAAATGGTTCATGGGAGATGCTTATTCGAAGAACCCTCCAAGACATGGAGATTGTGAAGTGGGCAACACTATCCTGGCCAATGCCCACAAGGAGGTGTTAAACCTAATGTTTTTTCAAAGAACGTATCATGACCATTCAACCTCTAAAGATCCTACTATGTCTTCAAGCCAAATACGCCCCCAAAACTGCAATATATATATGTGTGTGTATGTATAGAATAAAAACCTAAGAACTTTTCCTTTATCCATTACAACCTCCTCCAACATGGACCTACAATTTCTATCACGCACAAGTGAAACCACATAGGAGCCCAAAAATCGGCCCCAAATCAATTGCTCAAACAAGCAACTCCAGAACAAACTAGTTTACTTCAGAGTGCAATGCGCAAATTTGGTTAGAATTCTAAGAAAGGAAAGTTGAGAGACCAGAATACTTGAGAGAACAAATGAAACTCTTTTTTCCAATTCCTAGATCGTTAAAGAAATTTCTCCCAAATCAATTCCAAAATATACCAACTCAGAATTGCCACCGGTAGGTAGACCAAGGTAGAGGACAGAGGCCAATAACTCTCAGCCCATGAAGAACCAAAGGCCGCAGAATGTATATTGGAAGGATTAAACTTCAAGCAACCACACAACAACATAACATTTTGATAGATTAATCTTAAAACTGAAGGCTGATTCCAAAATATGCAACATCTTAAAGAGCCCGTGAACTTCCTATAAGTATACACCAATTCCCCCCATCTTAAATCTCCCCTCAGTTTGCAGTTGATAAATATCATATACATTGCGTTTTATTTGTCTGTAATTATATTTCTGTATCCAATTTAGATATGTCGGAATACAAACGAATAAATTTGTTACTAGATGTAACCCTAATAGAATTGATAAAATTTTGAAAAGTAAAACCGAAAAAAGATGTACATCAATTAAAAAATGATCAGATAATGAAAAATAAAATTCACATAGTACTTTATTAGAAAGACCGCCTATACCAAATATTTTCCCAATCCCCAAGTAGCTTCGATCGTCCCTGATTCTAGGTAATATGCAGCCACTATTCCAGTAAGATAAATTACCAAATTTTCAAACAAAAACCCATAATAAGCAGTAGTTCCAGTTTGCCGGCTATCCAAAATTCAGTACCAAACCATCCATACAATCCACTAACTTGAACAAATATTGTGATTAACAACAAAAGCAGTAAATCCGAAACCTTTTCGAGCTGATTCATGAGGGAAACAAGGAGCGCATTCGTGGTCTTGGTACGTTCGCCCTGTGGAATCCTTAGCCCACGTTCCATAGCATATAATCGACCTAAACATGGAAAACGCCCAGGCAATCAAGAATCAAAACAACTAGGGCCTAGAAGAAGAATTAAAGCTAAGAATTACAGTAATATGCGACAAGAGGTTCGTGCTTCTGCAATTCGTCCGCTCGCTGGAGGTAGGGCAGAAGGAGCTTCGCCGGCTCGTTCTCGCTCGCCATCTTTCACTGGAGCTCCGAATCTGATACGATCAAAGGTGATCTTACAATTTTGGTTGAAAACTTGGAGATTCGTATGCAATGGAAACTTCAAATCTTAGAAAAAAAAAAAGACAAAATGACTAAATTAATAAAAATATGGTTGAATTTTATACCTGTCGACAAAAAAAATATTCTAAATTTTTAAATATTTCAACAATATACTTTCAAATAAGTTCAAACAAACAAGTAATGTTAATATAATATTTTATTTTTAAATACCTTTTAAAATACTTAAAAACTTTTAAAAAAATAACATTAAAGAATTTAGAGATAATATATGACAGGTAGACTGACCGTCTTCATCAATATATTAAGACCAAGATTTTTTTTTGAACTTTTACTATAAAGATAACGGGGTTAATTTTAATTTAAATATTATAATCATAGTCTCACAACATGTCTATATATAAGTAATAATATTTTGTAAGAAGCTTCAATTGTAACGCCCATAATTTTCTTACCTAGATTAGAGACGTCACTGCTTGCATGCATGCCTTTAATAACATATGCGAAAAGTTTAATAAAAGTCTCTTAGCTTAGCTTTCATGGTCATTTCAACATCACCGTCATCCGTTCAGGAGTACTTTACATTTTAAGAAATACTCGGTAAGTAATCATACTGTTGTGGTCAGATAATGGAAACATACAAATACATGATAGGACCTATCCTTTAAAACAACATAGTATGTCCTTGTTCTCTTTCCAGTCTAACCAGGGTTTGGATGTGTAGTACTTCCCTACACATGGATCCACCAGGAAGACTCGTATATGTAATCCCTAGGCCTGGCTCGTCAGGCTAAACACGCTAACGCATCGTTGAACTCCATGAAGGGAAAGACCCGCATGATATCATGGTGAACATAGATATCAAAGATATGCGTCCATACTAACATAACATAATGAGGAAGTATATCGATGTAAGTGACATACATAAATACACGAGATCCTCATGGCTTAAAATCTTAGCATATAATAAGAATTATTTCGTTTTTTCTTTCATTCAAGTCACAATACACATCTGAGTCATGTATGCCTAGCATTCCTCATGCATAATCATTAGTATAGTAACAATCTATAAATGGCTTCACATGGCATGCCATACACAATATTTCATACCATACATATCATGATATAATAAGACATCACATATATTCATAACATCACATTCCTAACTACGACGCATGCAGGGACCACGCTGAATACATCATTTTCAAGTTGTAGAGCCCGCCGGGTCAAGTCAAGCCAAGCTAGAATAGAAACACGGGGTCGTCGAATGTTGCGAATCGTAGATAAAATTATTGATTTTATTTGAAAACACAAAATGTTTTTGAAACAAAAAAAATCGAAACAACAAGAATCATAAGAAGATTTATTATTTGTATCCTATGATACAGAAAAAGATGATATAGAATCAAGCTGTCATTCCTTACTATTATTGTCTATTTTAGTACTCTACTAGAATAGAATTAAAAAACTTGTTAATTTTTTAATTAAAATGAGTCCTCTTTTCCTAATCTCATCAGTCGCCCTGATGAAAATACGTCAACGTTCGAATTTTCATGATTCTTTTCAGATCCGATCTTTTTATTATTTATTACTACGACTTATTTTCGTCTTCGACAAAAGGTCAATTTATATACAATAATTGCATTGTAGCGGATATAGTTTAGTGGTAAAAGTGCGATTCGTTCTGTGTTGGCAAGCAGGCCGAGCGTATCTAGTAACACGTATTGGGCTGAGCTGAAAACATGAGTGAATCTAGGGCCACAACATGGGTTGGACCAACTGGGTGTTCTTGGGTCCAAAATTTGAAGTCGTACTATGTGTTAGTCATCTTAAAACTATGATGCTGCCGATTGTGACTGGGCGCAAGCCACTTGTGCGTCAATGAAACTTACCCATGTGGGGTGAGGGCTTTTGAAGAGAGTGTGGGTGGTTATCCCTTTGCGGATACGTCCATGTCTCGCTGAAAATCGTGAGATTTTCGACAAGATTCGGTTTTTCTCTGCCTAACACATTTCCGAACATTATTTTGACCCCCAATTCACAAACTTTTGGTTTATAAGTCAAAATAAAGTATAATGAGCTGAAACCACCACACAGCTCACACCTCAATTTTGATCTCTTTCGACTTAGAGAGAATAGTTGGGAGAGATTCATGAAGAACGGAAAGCATGAGAAGGCTGAAAACGTACAACGCTACTGGAGCTTTTGATTGTGAAGTTTTGAAATTAGGTGTTTTTTTTTTTCAATAAGAATTAATTTGTTTTTCTTATACGGAAAGTTACTAGAACTCAAGCAAGATGTTTTTCATGAAGAGATCGAAGAAAAATAACCAAAGAACGGCCCTCAATTCGTTAGTTTAAATTTGAGCTTAAAAGTAGGAAAGGAATTTCTCGATTTTTTATAAACTTTGGCCCATTCTTCGAGACTTGTTTGTAGAGCTTCATGACAAGGAGAAAAGAATAACTTTGGGGAAGGAAACGAAAGTTGAAAGTCACTAGAAATAAAGAACTCATAGGTTGATTTTCAGTAAACTTTTGAGTTCAAAATTTCATAACTTAGATTCCAAAACTCGTCCTCTATTGTATAAGTCGTGACATGGGACAATATTATTAGCTTCAAGGTATATTATAGATCAATTTTTCTAAAGAACTTTGAGAGGAGATAAGCTCCAAATTAACTGGACCAAGAGTACGAAACAACCTAGAAGTCTAGGTAAATGCAGTGTCGGGTACCCTACTTTGAACTCTAATATCTTGCTCGATTGAGAACTAAATTAAGTGAAACCTGTCTTAAATGAACTGTGGTATGTAGGACTATAAGTTCGTGAAGAAATAAAGGGAAAATCGCTTCTAAAACATGTTAGAATCATCGAGTTTCAGAGGGGTCAGACATCAATTTTACGCGCTAAATGTATGACTAGATTGAAGACCTTTTGCTCACTGTTTGAGCCGGTTCACCTCTATTTAGATCAGTTCTCATGAAATTGTTTATTGTTCCACGAACTAGAACTATTTGCAGCCTACCCTGGAAATATGAAAGAAAAACAACTTCAAAAAGCCCGAGAATCGCGAGCTCAAACATGCTCAAGTAAGTAAGTAGTCATATGGAGGAAGTATCAAGGTCGATTAGAACAAGGGGCATATGATTATAAATTGTATCTAAGAACCTAATTGACCTAGGATCGTGATATATAAACCTCATGGAGAATTTTGAGATGATATCCATCCGAATGGGATAAGAGAATTCCAATTCCTTTAGTATTCTTTTTGCTTCTCAACATTGAAGAAAGAATGAAAAAAGAAAGAAGTAAAAAAATCAGTAAGAATCCCTAGACCGGTATGATTCAATTCAACATTTTGTTCGTGAGAGTTTGATTGTGTTGTAGCTCTCTCATGTGCAGTTATGCTTCGGATGCTTCGCCATAGAATAGATCAACCCAGTTCCCATTTTTTTCCGGTGCACACGCTTTATATCTCCGACACACAAGGAAGGACGCAGTGGGAAGAAAGTAGCCCTAGCCTTTGTTTGGCCGATCATTCCGCTGCATCTTGCATTCACGCCTCTGTTTGGCTGCCGCTCAGGTGAATTTCCCTCCTTTTTTTTTTTTTTTTTTTTTTTTTTTTTTTTTTTTTTTTTT